TGTTAACATACTTCTGCTCTTCACTAACACCAAACACCAAATGCTCCACCATTTCTTTATCAATTTTTGGATTTGCATTTTCTATAGTTTCTCTTCAATTCCTGCACCCCAATCAATAGGCTAGCCAATATGTAAATAAGTGATTTCCTATAATCTGGGCCAGGTATAGTATCATGAAATTCAGACAGGTCCAAATAGCACAAGCAACAGAACATGTCACAGAGTAAACCATCACAAACTAGGGGGTTTCTGGTCTCTGCCGTCATCTTATACTTTTTCAAATCTTCTATACCTTAAAAAGACCAGAGTTTTACAATATACTAAAAATGAACATGTATTATAGTCCACGTTGGAACTTGGAAGATAGAGTTTAAAAGTGCTTTATGATTTCCTAGAATTCCTTTACATATAATTTTCTTAGCATCTGTTGAGATGAGGCAAGGAAGGGCTATTTCTTTCTGTTTGAGTTTTTAAAAGTGCTAACCTTTTAAAACCCAAAACTACCCATTCAAAATTAATTTTAATGATCACAAACGTATGACCACAAACGATATTAAGTAGCTTTAAAACTATATAGAATCACAACATTGTGTTGGAATGTTTTCCCCCAACAGCCATTTTACACAGTTAGTTATCTAACAAAGTAACAACCTGCGAAAAAGAAAAAAACATCTAACTAAACCACATCTGCAGATCTGCTGCACAGCACTCCTAATCTTCTTTGTCTCCCATACTTGTTGAGGTTAACATACTTCTGCTCTTCACCAAATGCTCCATCATTTCTTTATCAATTTTTGGATTTAATAATTTGCATTTTCTAATTTCAAAGGATTCAAAACAATTAAGACTGCACACATCAGAAGCAAAGTGCAGTGGCATTGGATACACAAAACATCAGAATCTCTACAACTTCCCTACCAAACATGCTATCCCGCCATAATGAGGATAAAAAATTAACAACCAAAAAACTTTTAAAGAAATAGTCAATACCAAATTTAGGTAGTGTTTTTTGACAATCAGACGTTAATACAAAACCACTCTACTTAGTCAACAACTAAATGGTATATAGCTCTGTAAGAACAAATTGATACCAATTTCTAAAGAAACAAATGCATCAATCAAACCATATTCAATTTGTGGAAAGGTAAGAGTCTTGGCATCCCAATCGCTGAGAGTCACTTCCAATGGCTTCTCCATCACCCTTCCCAGAACTTCCCACGCCATTCTCTTCAACCCCATCCTCATGAAAATAATGTGAGGGGGGCGTACTTAATTCGAGATATCACTTCTAAGAAAAAATTACATCTTTCACAATTTTGTCTAAGGGTGGAAAGACACCTCAAATAAGGATAAGGAGCTAAAACGTAATAAAATGCTATAGGTGGGATTTGAAACGTTGACACTCTGTGAAATACTGAAGGTTCTACCCACTGATCTACTAAACACCTTAATGACTTATGCATGTACTTATATATTAGTAGAAAAGGTTGAGGGGGGCAGTGGCCCCCACTGCCCCCATTGTGGCTCCGCCACTGCCACCAACCCGTGGTCCCGGAGGAGCTTCTCGGCGTCATCTCAGACCCCAACGCCGACGAAGGTGAATCCCGGATTAGCCAGGAAGGCAAGGAGAGAATGGGGAGTGTAATCCTTGTGCAAAAGTTGAAAAATCAGACAGCTTTTCCCGACGCAAAGCTGGAGAGTGGCGGCCGGGTTGTCGTCTTCCCCTGCAAGACACGGGTGCCACTCGATGTCAAGACCGACGATGATGCTGTGGAGGACATGGTGGTTGTTGTAGACGACCTGGTTGACCCATTGATCAACCTCAGCGGCTCTCTTTGTCATGGTGACGCTGAAGTTTATGCCGTGAAACTGGACTTGGTGTTGTAGCCCAGAGAAGCATCTGCGTCTGAGTCTGGGTGGAAGCGTCATATCGCCCCCAAGAAACTCAAAATTCTTGAATTCCAACGCCAATTCTTGAAAAGCTTTCAACTTTCGATTAAGATTTATTGATGGGTATGAAAATATGAAACACAGAAACGCAGAAATAGAGAAACCTTGGATTAAGATTAAGTGATGGGTATGAAAAATATGAAACACAGAAAGGCAGGAATAGAGAAATCTTGGAGTGAGTTACGAGTTTGAAGGTGAAACAGAGAAATCTTTGAATGGAGAGTGGAGAGGGAGGGAGGAAAGGGGTATATATTATTTCAGTCAGTAGCCAAATGGTAAACTTGTTGTGATTGATTAGTTTAGTTTTAGGAAAGTAAAGTATGTAGCCGTTTTTATTTAGTTTTGTGGCGGTTAGTTTCGAATTTAGTGTTAGGAAAGTACTTACTCAAATTATAAAAATTCGATTTGCATTTCAAAACTGGTTTCCTAAAACGTTCTGCTAGATAAACCCGCCTTGGCTAAGAGGATTAAACCCGACGTGAATCAAACACACAACCTTCTGATTTAGAGTCAGACACGCTACCAATGCACTACAAATCCGCTGTTGACAAGTTTTAACTTACAATCATTTATATTGGTTATTTTCTTTAGAATTAATGCCACATTTAGTTGCATGATTACAATTTTTAATTAATTAATAACAAACAAAATAAAAATGATTAATAATTGGTCATTAAATGTAAAAGTACTATCAATTATACTAATAAGAGCCCAAGAGAGTTAGGCCTATAATGGGTAGAAAAAATGGCGGTCAAATTTCTTAATCAAATGAATGGCTCAGATTGATCAGATTTTAATTTTTCCTTGAGATTTCCTAATTTATCCTTAATGAATATGATTATCCGTTAAATATTATCTTGTCCATTAGTTTCTGTTAGTTCACCGTTAACTTACTCATTGATTTTAATAAGAAAGGTCGCAGGTTTGAACCTCATCCCAATCAAATTAAAGTTGGCATAATTAGTACTCTATTTTACTCTTATTAAACTATATTAATAATTTAGTAGCTACAACAAAAAATAATACATATGCATTTCTTTAATTTAGAATTATGTGTGTACAATATTTTTATTCATAAAAAATTATTCATTATCAATAAATTAAATAAGAGAAATAATTTCATTAGTTATATTGTCTTTATTTTTCTCCAATGTAAAACTTCTTTACATTCAAATTAATCAATTAATTATATTCATTACATTGTCTATTATCTTTTTTTTTTGTGCACTATTTTTTAATTAAATATCAAAGTTATAATACAAAATAATGCTATATATTTATTTACCAAGTATTTTATTACTACCATGAAAAAATTTAAAAAAGCAGTTAGCGGTTAGCGTTAGCGGATTTGACCAACGAATTATATAAACAGTTGGAAAAAAGATATTTGAAAAAATTAGCATTTTAGATTAACATGTAAAATGACCTAAGGGTATACATATAATAATAATAATAATAATAATAATAATAATAATAATAATAATAATAATAATAATAATAATAATAATAGTAATAATAATAATAATAATAATAATAATAATAATAATAATTGTTATAAAAAATAAAAATAAAAAGTATAACTAAACCAATCATATTAACTACTTGGGATATTTATTGACAAAATGAGTATTCAAATCACACAACAAATTGAAGTGGAAAACTATCTCGCAATGTCATTATTCGACAATCAGCAGTTAGCTCTTCAATATTAGTATATATTTAATATTTTATGCCCTAATTTTTATTTGCTCTCCCTTATTTCTCGTATTTGGTTTCAACCATACCCATACAATTATTTTATTGGCAATTATAATTAATCTTGACTATATTATCTTGCATTTATAAATTTAGAATTACCTATTTAAATACGCAAATTCAACATTCAATTATATATGCATGAACAATTCCAATATAATCTTGCATTAATATATTTATAGTACTTATTAAAAAAAATATTGGGCATCATCTCAATCGCGCAATGCGCGTAAAAAAACTAGTGGTAATCATATAATTGAAAGTAAAATTTAATTTTCAAATGGTCCCTCGACTATGTCATAATTAATAACCAAAATTAATAACCAAAATGGTCCCTCGACTATGTCATAATTACCAATTTGGTCCTCGACTACCATTCTTACTCAATTAAGTCCTCAACTATGTAATATTTACCTAATTTAGTCCTCCATCAATTTATATGTTAATTGGCTGTCAATAATGAGGACAAAACTGTCATTTTATCACTTTCTTCCATCACCTTCCTCACGCCTGTATACACTATAATTTATGCGTCGTTCAATGGGACAACTAAATTATGGAATGGAGCGTGTCACTGTGGGGGTCTCGGACTCCCTACCACTCCTCGTTAGAACAGTGACTCCCGCGCAAGGTTAGCATGTTGATGCTTTAATGATTCGAATGTCGGTTGACATGTGTGAGTATGTGGGATACTCAGAAAAGAATCACCTATGTGAGAAAGAAGTGAGGGTCGCTTCAAAGGAGAATTGATATTAAGATATTATCCGTTCAAGAATCACCAACCTATCAAGCCACAATGCTTTCTGTTCAAGAAGTTCCCCACCTCAGATGTTATTAAGATATTATCCGTAAAGAACCTCCCAGGAATAAACGCACTCTGGGATTCCGATATTAAATCTAGTAAATAAATACATAAAAAACTAAAATTAAGAGCAAAAGAAGCATTTTTTTTGAGAAATTGGTGGGGGACAACGCCTACAACTATATATTTACGGTGGATAGATATCGAAAAAATACGCGATTTTAAAAAAAATTGTCCCGTCCGAGTCAAAAGTTATATCAATGCCTCGACAAAGTTTCTAAACCCTAAACCTAAAAAATAATAAAATAATAAAAATTAAAAATTAAAAATTAAAAATTAAAAAATAAATAAAAAACGGCCAGTTCAGCCGGCTAGGCGGCCGCCCGGCCTCGGTGGAGGCCGATTCCGGCCTTCCTCACCGTGACCGGGCATGTTTGCAACATTGCTTAATAGTCTATAAATATTATCCGTGCATCACACGGGACAAATACTAGTATGAATCAAATATCAACCAACAATTGTAAGCATTATTATAACAATAGGGTACAAAATACGGAGTACCAAATAATCAAATAATACAGCCATAGCTTGCCACGGAGACTAATTAGAACTTGGAAAGTGTTTCAAAATTTATATATAGAACCATAGCAGAAGCCATCCTCTCAATGTAGACGGGGAAATCTTCCAGGCAAGGTACATGCACAATGTAACATACGCAAAGCTTTTAGATAGGAGTATTTGTATATATTGTATGAATATGTCGTCCACCACCCTTCATTTTCCAAGTGAACTATCGCCTCAGGCTTTCCACAACATAATCCGCATAGAAATTCCTGGCAAACGCATCAAATTACAATTAAACATTTGTAGAGAGATAATTAATGACGGAAACACAAGTTCAAGTACAGTCTTCTATTTGATATGTGACGGGCAGTTTTACTTTATGCAAGAATGGAAATATGTGAAGGCAAAGGTTTGAAAACTTACATGGAATGCTGGATGGCTTCATAAGCATCAGATGCTGGTAGAAAGTCATTAACTGCAACTTCCTTCTTCTCATTCTTCTTGTCTGAATAATTGTTAAGTATCAAATATTTTCACCTCTGTATTAGAATCAGCTGTTAAAACGAACATCTTTAAAACATAATTCCTGTTCCCATTTATAATCTTTATATATGAAAGGATACAATCCTCAAAGAAGCGGCGGATCTCAGCCAAACGAACAACAGTCAGCATCTTAAAATATACAAAATAACAGAGTTAAAGGCAATACAAATGACAGTATGCACTTTGTTAAATTAAATACAATAGCTAAACTGCCCGTTTCATCACAAATAACAATAGCACTTTGCTAGATAGTAGTTTAAACCTTTGGAGATGATGTTTCCACTATGGCATTTTTGAGATAGCTTCTTCAACCAAATAGTATTAACTTACACATACTGGGAACACAAACATATGCACAAAGCTAACCCAATTGAAATAAATAACATATTGCAAAAAGATGCAAACCTTTAAAAAAGAGTAAAAGACAATTTTGGTCCTAGACTTATAGTGGCACGGACAATTTTAGTCCTTTATAAAAAAATCAGACAATTTTTGGACACTCTTATTATGATGAGGACAATTTTGGTCCTCCGTCTATATTTCTGTTAAATGACCGTTTGAGAGAAGGGCAATTGCGTCAATTCACTCCATCTTCTTCTCCAACCTTCAATTCTCTGACTTCCCAAAAAAAACAAAAAAAAAAAAAATCTTCAATTCTTTGTAAGTTGAACTAAATTTCAGTGGGTGATGATTTGAACAAGATAAAACACCTCTTAAAATTTTGACTTTTCAATCTATCTAAAAGCCTGCACCATTTCACTCTCTTCGTCTCTAAACCTCTCCTCTCATTCCAAAATGGATTCCCAAACAGAGCATACCCTTTCGAGAAATAGAGACCTCTCTCAGTTACTCCCTTCCTTTTTCGGCATCCCAAACCCTAACACACTCCAAAATTCCTCGGACCCAGATCAGAAGACCAAAGGATTTCCCATCGCGCGTGACCAGATCGTCCTCATAAACCCGGTGACCCAAGGCATGATTGTCCTTGCCGAGTGTGGAGATTGGCGATGGCGAAGAGAACAATGAATGTGCGATTTGCTTGGAAGTGTGGGGTTTGGGTGGAGTGGCTAAAGAAATGTCTTGTAAGCACATATTTCACCACAAGTGTATTGATAAGTGGCTGTAGATTCATGGGTCTTGCCCAGTTTGTAGGTTCAAAATGCCAACCCAAAAAAATTGAAGGTTGAACACACAAAGAATTAAAGGTTCACTGGAAAGTCATCGAACTCCAGTGAAATTAAGTTCATCTTACAGAGAATTGAAGGTGGAAGAAGAGATAGAGTGAATTGACGCAATTGTCCTCCTCTTTGACAGCCATCTAACAGAAATATAGACGGAGGACCAAAATTGTCCTCGTCATAATAAGAGTGTCCAAAAATTGTCTGATTTTTTTATAAAGGACTAAAATTGTCCGTGCCACTATAAGTCTAGAACCAAAATTGTCTTTTACTCTTTAAAAAATCAAATAAAACTAAAACTTGTAGAGAAAACAGGAAGCACTTTAAATTACATCGGCTAAAAATTGCACCTACTAGAATTTATAAAAAGGATAGGTTCTTCCACAGTTATAAACTCCTTTTTACCCTCTTTCCTGGTAAGACTGATTGCTTTGGCTCTGGTCATTAATATTCTATTTAACTTGTAAATTTACCAATGTCTAAAGGTTTTAATTCAACCGGGGCCTGGACCCAATGCATAATGAAAGTGTAAACTACACCTATAGCCACCAAACCAAAAATCAATTTGTCAATAACTTGTTTAAACAAAAATATAGCATTTTATGCAGCTTAAAGCCTTCTAATAATATTAACCAGGATTTGACTATATTCTTTGTCCAAGTTTAACAACATTGTTTACAAGTTCCTATAATATTTCTCAAGTAAAATAAATATTGTATGTTTGAATAAGGGTCCGTTTGGAAACCAGGAAAATGACTTCTGGAAAATGTTTTCTGGAAAATGAGTCATTTTCCGGAAAACATTTTCCTTTCCGGTGTTTGGTTGCATTCTGGAAAACTGTTTTTGTGTGTTTGGTTCATTTTCTGGAAAATGAGTAGAATTGTATAATTAAACATTTTAATTATTTTATTTAGAATATTACAACATGTATAATAATATATAATAATATAATATTAATTTTAAATATAATAAAAAATAGCTAAGTTTTTCAACAAAAAAAAATAAATAATAATAATATATCAAAAATATTATGGTGGTGGTGGTGGTGTAGTGGTAGTGGTGTTATTCGTTATATAATAATAATAATAATAATAATAATAATAATAATAATAATAATAATAATAATAATAATAATAATAATAATAATTGGTGGTGGTGTGATGGTGGTGGTAGTATGACGATGGTGGTGGTGGCGGCGACGGTGGTATGGTGGTGGCGGCGGCGGCGGTGGTATGGTGGTAGTGGTGGCGGCGACGGTGGTTGCGGTGGTATGGTGGTGGTAGTGGTGGTGGTGGTTGCGGTGGTATGGTGGTGGTGGTGGCGGTGGTGTGGTGGTGGTGGCGGTGGTATGGTGGTGGTGGCGGTGGCGGCGGTGGTGTGGTAGTGGTGGCGGTGGTATGGTGGTGGTGGCGGCGGCGGTGGTATGACGGTAGTGGTGGCGGCGACGGTGGTTGCGGTGGTATGGTGGTGGTGGCGGCGGCGGTGGTTGCGGTGGTATGGTAGTGGTGGTGGCGGTGGTGGCGGTGGCGGTGGTGTGGTGGTGGCGGCGGTGGTATGGTGGTGGTGGCGGTGGTGTGGTGGTGGCGGCGGTGATATGGTGGTGGTGGCGGCGGCGGTGGTATGACGGTAGTGGTGGCGGCGACGGTGGTTGCGGTGGTATGGTGGTGGTGGCGGCGGCGGTGGGTGCGATGGTATGGTGGTGGTGGGGGCGGTGGTATGGTGGTGATGGCGGCGACGGTGGTTGCGGTGGTATGGTGGTAGTGGCGGCGACGGTAGTGGTGGCGACGGTGGTTGCGGTGGTATGGTGGTAGTGGCGGCGACGGTAGTGGTGGCGACGGTGGTTGCGGTGGTATGGTGGTAGTGGTGGCGGCGGCGGTGGTGTGATGGTGGTGGTGTGACAACGGTAGTATGGTGGTGGTGGTGGCGGTGGTATGGTGGAGATGGCGGCGACGGTGGTATGTTGGTAGTGGTGGTGGTGGTGGTATGGTGTTGATGATGTTGGTGTAAAAGTTGGAAAATGACTTCCCCCAAAAAAAAGGGGAAGTCATTTTCCATAAAATTGCCTTCCTTTTCCATTGACTTCCACCCCATTTTCCTTTGACCAGTCATTTTCCAATGTAACCAAACACCAAAACCCCGGAAAATGACTTCCAGAAGTCATTTTCCGGGTTTCCAAACACACCCTAAGTGCATTTTTATACAACCATATTGGTTGAACCTAAGCTTGTGCAACCATAGCAATAGTGGACTTGATTTGTAACCTTTCATATACAATGGAAGTTTAAAAAAAAATGATGAATCACAAATTGTAAATTAATGCATGAGTAGACTTGAAAGAGATGGACAGATGGGGACAAATATAACCTATGGAAATTTTTTCCCCAGGCCAACCATTAACCTAAATATTGGCGGGCTCAGGCTGGCTCCAGTTCAAACTTTTTCCTGAGCTCAACCAGCCTGACTGATGGGTATACATTTCAGTACCCAGTCAAGAAGCATTTGCATGTTTTCAATAAACAATTTGTGATATTTTTTACCTTGATAAGTCCACTCTTCTTATCCACTTCATACTTCACCTTACCCCCTTTACTGATCTCAATTACCTGCATAGATATAGTCATATACAAAAACTTAACCTGAAATCCTTGTCCACACAAAAATAAACCTGATACCAAATCATTAATATCATGCCATTCCCCGAGTATAACACAAGTAAATCCATATGGTCAAGGTCAATGAGCACTTGAGCATTCAAATGGGAGGGTAAGACAATATCAACGTTTTTTTTTTTCAAATTTCTGATGGATTTACTTGAGGGTTCAAATAGGATTAGCTCATTTGCTTGTTGCATATAAATGGTTATAAGACGTATATGTTTTTTTACATTAAATTAAAAAAATTTACGGAGTTCAAAGCAGTGGGATATGATTTACCGCATGATACGAGTCCTAACTAAATTTCTAAAATGAACAAATTGAAAATTCAGAAGGAACATTTGAAAAGTCAAGTAATCTGAAAGATTTGAGCAAAGTGAATGCTTACCACATTGAAAAGCTTTGGAGCTTCAGGCCCGGGATCAGATCACAAGACACGGATGAAGTAACTTTAAACTCCAAAAAGTGATCAACTCTAGATATGGGCAGAATTTAGTTAAATACCTATCTCAACATCATGCCAAGGATGAGCATTGCAGCAACTGATCTCCGAGTCATGGAAGATAGTATCCTTTCCTTTCATTTAGTGGCGGATGCGAGGACATATTTCCCTTCAATTGGGAGCTTTGATTGGTGTTTCAACTATAGTTGGAAACTGGACATTTATTAAAAATGAGGAGCAGATAGATCATAAACACAGAGACAACAATTGAGTGTAAATGTAGGACTTATGCTATTCAACTTCCAGCATCCTCATACACACAAAATCTGGCAAATGCACAACTACATTTCCCTAAACTATCAATTTCCAGTCTTTATTATTTGCACAATAAGATTCATTATTTTAATAACACCAACTTCTTAAAATGATACACATTTGTTGCAGGATTCTTTTGCCAGATTGAAGACAAGAAATCATCAAAAAATAAATAACAAACAGACAGTATAAACAGACAGAAGCAAATTAAGTGGCATTGGATACACAAAACATACATCACAATCTCTATAAATTTCCCTACCAAATATTAATGAGGATGAAAAATTAACAACCAAAAAAACTTTCAATTAAAGAAAGATTTTAGGTAGTTTTTTTGACAATCAGACCTTAATACAAAACAACTCTACTTAATCTGCTCTGTAAGAACAAATTGATACCAATTTCTAAAGAAACAAATGCATCAATCGAACCATATTCAATTTGCGGAAAGGTAAGAGTCTTGGCATCCCAATCGCTGAGAGTCACTTCTAATGGCTTCTCCATCACCCTTCCCAGAACTTCCCACGCCATTCTCTTCAACCCCATCCTCATAAACCGCTCTGAGTCGTAAACCCCCGCGGCCACCCACCGCAAATCCGCAACGTTTTCCACCACCAACCCGTGGTCCCGGAGGAGTTTCTCGGCGTCATCTCGGACCCCAACGCCGACGAAGGTGAATCGGAGATTAGCCAGGAAGGCGAGGAGAGAATGGGGAGTGTAGTCCTTGTGCAAAAGTTGAAAAATCAGACAGCTTTTCCCGACGCAAAGCTGGAGAGTGGCGGCCGGGTTGTCGTCTTCCCCTGCAAGACACGGGTGCCACTCGATGTCAAGACCGAGGATGAGGCTGTGGAGGACATGGTGGTTGTTGTAGACGACCTCGTTGACCCATTGATCAACCTCAGCGGCTCTATTTGTCACGGTGACGCTGAAGTTTATGCCGTGAAACTGGACTTGGTGTTGTAGCCCAGAGAAGCATCTGCGTCTGAGACTGAGTCTGGGTTGAAACTCAAAATTCTGGACTTGTCTGCGGCGTCTGTGTCTGGGTGGAATCATCATATCGATCACCCCCAACAAACTCAAAAAGCTTTGGATTAAGATGAAGTGATGGGTATGAAAATATGAAACACAGAAAGGTAGGATTTGGAGTGAGTTACTGAGTTTGAAGATGGAAACAACAAATCTTTGAGTTACTGAGAGAGTTTGAAGATGGAAACAAGAAATCAAAGGTATATATAATTTCTGTTAGTAGCTTGTTGTGAAAGTCACTTTACCGTTTTTATTTGGTTTTAGGAAACTACTAATTCAAATTATAAAAATTCAAAATTGGTTTCCAAAACAAATCTGCTAGGTTAGGCTTATAGGAAAGCGGAAAAAATTGACACCGAAATTTGATGGGTTTGAACCCGACATGAATCGAACACGCAAGATCTAGAGTCAGACGTGCTACCATTGCGCCACGGATCCGCTATTGACAAGTTTTAACTTACTTAACATTTGTACCCTGTTTCTTTCTTTAGAATTAATGTCCCATTTGGTTTCATGATTACAATTGACATATTCGTTTTAATTAATTAACAAACAAAATAAATATGATTAATAATTGGTGATTAAATGTAAAAATACTATGGTAATCATATAATTGAAAGTAAATTTTAGTTTTCAAATTAGATTTTGTCTTGATTTAAAACGAAGTAAGAAACGTCTTCTATGAACGAGTAAGTAGTTTTATCTTTAAAATATGAGATGAACAAAAAGCTTCATCTCTTATCTTTGATGCTTCGTCTATGGATGGGCAGATTCATTATGGGGGCAGTCTTCCCTACTCCACCCCATTATATATGTGTGTGTGTGTGTATTAGATGTTCTAATTTAAATAATTATATATCGATTTAAATATTCTTAATATATTACAACAAATCAATTCCGTGCATCGCACGGGCGAAAATACTAGTATCTACTATCTACTATATATATATATATATATATATATACTATACTATACTAATAAGAGTCCAAGAGAGTTAGGCCTATAATGGGTAGAAAAAATGGCGGTCACAGATTTTAATCAAATGAATGGCTCAGATTGATTGAAAGATTGATCAGATTTAAATTTTACACTAAAATTTCCTAAAATACCCACACACCGTTACTAATTCCGTTAAAATTTTAAGAATTGCCGTTAGTTCACCGTTAACTTACTCATTGATTTCAATAGAAAAAGGTCTTAGGTTCGAATCTCATCCCAATCAAAGTTGGCATAATTAGTACTCTATTTTACTCTTATTAAATTATATAAATAATAATTTAGTAGTTACAACAAAAAATAATACATATGCATTTATTTAATTTATAATTATGTGTCAATAATGCCTTTATTCAAAAAAAAAATTCATTATCAATAAATTAACTAAGAGAAATAATTTTATTAGTTATATTATCTTTATTTTTCTTCAATATAAAAATTTTTTATATTCAAATTTATTAATTGATTATATTCGCTACATTATCCTTACAATGTCTTTATTCAGGGAAAAAAAATTATTAATTATCAATAAATTAATTAAAAGAAATATTTTCATTAGTTATATTGTCTTTATTTTTCTCAAATGTAAAAATTTTTACATTCAAATTCGTCAAATGATTATATTCACTATATTATCTATTATCTTTTTTCTGCACTATTTTTTCTAATTAAATATCAAAGTTATAATACAAAATAATGCTATATATTTATTTACCAAGTATTTTATTAATACCATGAAAAAAATAAAAAAATATAATTAATAAAGCCAACCATATTAACTACTTGAGAGATTTTGTGACAAAGAGAGTATTCAAATCACACAACAAATTGAAGTGAGAACTAACTCGCAATGTCCTTGTTTGACAATCAGCAGTTAGGGGTTAGCGTTAGCGGATTATACTAGCGGATTTGGCCAGCGAATTTATTTAATTATTAACATTGGGTAGAAAAAATGACCGCGAAATTATTAAATCAAATGAATGGTTCATATTGTTCAGGTTTTAACTTTTTTCTTTTAAGATTTTCTAATTTATCCTTAATTATATGATTATCCATTTAATTTTTCCGTTAATTCACCGTTAGTCTAATTCTAATATTAAAGTCTAATATAGAATTATAACTACACAATTAATCTAATTCTAATATTAAAGTCTTAATAGAAGTTAACCACAAAGCCTAATGTCGGAATCTCCTCAAACAATATTAGTATATATTTAATATTTTATGCCCTAATTTTTATTTGTTCTCCCTTATGTCCCGTATTTGGTTTCAACCATACCTATACAATTATTTTATTGACAATTATAATCAATCTTGACTATATTATCTTGCATTTGTAAACTTAGAATTACCTATTTAACCCGCACCGGCTTAGCTCAATGGTTTTGAACCTCGGCGGCGGCAGTGCGGGAATTATGTCCAAAGTGGGCAGATTCCTTGTCCACAATGCTCTGTCGGGTCGGAGTGTGGGGGCCCTTGGGGTTGGAGACTCAACCTTTGGGAGAAGAATTACCTATTTAAATACGCAAATTCAACCTTCAATTATCTATGCATGAACAATTTCAATATAATCCTGCCTTAATATACTTTAAAGTACTTATTTAAAAAAAAAAATATTGGGCATTATCCCAATCGCGCAATGCGCGTAAAAAACTAGTATACTAATAAGAGCTCAAGAGAGTTAGGCCTATAATGGATAGAAAAAATGGCGGTCAAATTTTTTAATCAAATGAATGGCTCAGATTGATCAGATTTTAATTTTTCCTTGAGATTTCCTAATTTATCCTTAATGAATATGATTATCCGTTAACTTTTCAGTTAAATATTATCTTTTCCGTTAATTTCTGTTAGTTCACTGTTAACTTACTCTTTGATTTTAATAAAAAGGTATTAGGTTCGGACCACATCCAATCAAAATTGGCTAAATTAGTACTCTATTTTACTCTTATTAAATTAAATAATAATTTAGTAGTTACAGCAAAAAATAATATATATACATTTCTTTAATTTTTAATTATGTCTCTACAATGCCTTTATTCAAAAAAAAAAAAAATTATTCATTATCAATAAATTAAATAAGAGAAATAATTTCATTAGTTATATTGTCTTTATTTTTCTCCAATATAAAAATTCTTTACATTCAAAATTGAAATTCATCAATTGATTATATTCGCTACATTGTTCCTACAATGTCTTTATTAAAAAAAAAATTATTCATTATCAATAAATTAATTAAGAGAAATAATTTCATTAGTTATATTGTCTTTATTTTTCTCCAATGTAAAAATTATTTACATTCAAATTCATCAAAATTGATTATATTCACTACATTGTCTATTTTTGTGCACTATTTTTTAATTAAATATCAAAATTATAATACAAAATAATGCTATATATTTATTTACCAGGTATTTTATTAATACCATGAAAATAATTAAAAAACTTACATTAATAAATCCAATTATATTAACTACTTGAGGGATTTATTGACGAAGAGAGCATTCAAAACACACAACAAATTGAAGTGAGAACTACCTCGCAATGTCCTTGTTTGACAATCAGCAGTTAGCGGTTAGCGTTAGCGGATTTGACCAGCGAATTATATCAACAGTTGGTAAAAAGATATTTGAAAAAATTTGCTGTTTAAATTAACATTTAAAATGACCTAAGGGTATACATATAATAATAATAATAATAATAATAATAATAATAATAATAATAATAATAATAATAATAATAATAATAATAATAATTGTTTTAATAATAATAAATTTTTAAAAATATAGATGTGTTTTGGGGAAATCATTCTCAAAAACGTTAAGTGAAAATATTGTAAATTGCAATGTTTGTATTTTCAGTGGTTTGGAACAAATTGTTGCTTCAAACTGATGATAACCAAAACATTTTCTTTACCATTTTGATCTTTGGGTTACATCATATTTACCAATCGTCCAATATCTTTGGATTGCATTATAATTAAAAAAAATTAAATTCTTACTACATCCAAATTCCTTAAACTAGGAATTTCTTTATCCATAATAATTTATTCAACAATAATGGTTGAACTAAATGAACACTGAGCAAAACACCTAAAAGGACTGGTACTGTTGATTCATTCATTGATCTTATATATATGTGCATTCATTAAATATATTAGAACCCTTTGCAACAAAAATACTTGGTTACTATTTAAAAAAAAAAATTAGTAACAATTATAATGAATCTCCTATATTACATCGTATTCATATACTATGAATTACATATTTAAAAACAAATTAAACATTAAATTATTTATGTTGAACTTCTTATATATAATCTTGCATTTATATCCTTTCAAATATATATTTATTTAATTATAAACATTGGGTATGTAGAAAAAATTACCGTCATATTATTAAATCAAATGAATAGTTCAGATTGTACAGATTTTAATTTTCCTTGAGATTTTCCTAATTTATCCTTAATTATATGATTATCCGATCCGTTAACTTTTTCATTAAGTACCGCTAATTCACTATTAGTCTAATTCTAATATTAAAGTCTAATATAGAATTATAACTACAACATTAATCTAATTCTAATATTAAAGTCTTAATAGAACTCTAACCACAAATCCTATTGCCGGAATCTCCTCAAACAATATTAGTATATATTTAATATTTAATATTTTTTGCTCTAATTTTTATTTGCTCTCCCTTATGTCCCGTATTTGGTTTCAACCATACTCATACAATTAGTTTATTGACAATTATAATCAATCTTGACTATATTATCTTGCATTTGTAAACTTAGAATTACCAATTTAAATACGCAAATTCAACATTCAATTATCTATGCATGAACAATTCTAATATAATCTTGCCTTGATATACTTTAAAGTACTTATTTAAGAAAAGCATTGGGCATTATCTCAATCGCGCAATGCGTGTAAAAAACTAGTTCCATAATACAATGATGTTGTTAGCAGAGTTAATTCCCAAAATGGTCTTTCGACTATGACCTTTTCTCAATTTGGTTCCTTGACTTTTAATTG